GATTATTTTTAAAAGTTCAAAATATAGGTATTGTATTTTATTGAATAAAAGAAAATATAAGGATTTTTTTGAATTTATAAAAAATTATACCTCTTAACGGTTAAAAGTAACTATGGTCAGTTGAAGTTTTAAATTCAAACAAAAAATGATCTCTGCTGTTTTTAATATATTTAGGACAACCTTCAATGGTCTGCTGAGCAGTTAATATACCATCACTTCCAATGACTGAATATTTGGCAGTTAAAATGTTGCCATTTGCAGTCATCCATAAGGAGGCCATTACACCTTTAGATTGTTGAAGCTATTTCAGGTAAATTCTCTGTCTAGTTATAGGTTTCTAGTGCCCCTCAACTGGCACCACTTGAGACAATCAGCTTTCAGTGTGCATGGTGGGCCAAAGGGTTAGTTTTATAATACACTTGAAATACATAAAATCAGTGACTTGAGTAAACAGCAAACAAAACCTGTTATTTATTAAATCGTATGTAAGAAGGAGAAGCAATACTTATTTTGCGTTTATTTGCTGTCAACAAAAGCTCTTGAAGATTATGGCCACAAAATAGATTGCCTGGAAGTGATTTCTATGGGTGACTTTAAAGTACTTAAAATAAAAAAAAAAATTAAAAAAAAAAGAAGAAAAAAGCAGTATGAGCAGAAATGCATGAGATTGCCCTTCAAAGCAATCAGGCCGAGAGGGTGCTGCCACGGCCCCTGCCACCACTGTGCGAAGCCCTTTTGGAATTTCTCCTGAGGAATCTACTACGGAGCTGGTATATGAGTCACATGAGAAAATGCTCCTTGTGTATGATGGATTGGAGCTGCTTCCACAGCTGAAGGGAAAGCCACTATGGAGAATTCCTCACACCTTCCTCTTTCATATGCTTTTCTATAATTATGTCTTATATTTGTGATGTAGTGCCTTGACATAGTTTAGCCTCTAGTTGCCTGGCAGTTCAGAATGATCTGGAAGCCAGAATATTCTTGTTTACCTAAGGTTGATTACTTACTTGCATTAGAACTCTCTTCTATTTGTCCTAGAAAAGTAGACATAGAAAATACTGGAGGGTTGTCATTTATATCCAAAACCCTGACTCTGAGCTCAAGAGGCCTCTCTAAGTCTTGGCCCTGTGAATTCAGAGCCCGGCAGTAGATCTAAGAGAGAAAAGAGGAATAGTTATATGGTGCAACATATATTAAGTTCTTACTTTTTGGGGTACTATACTAGGCACTGTGGGTAACTAAAAGAAAAATAAGACATTATTTCGTATGAGAGTGTAAGCACACACAGTACTTATAATCAATAAGGGGAGGCAAACACGAAGTCAAAATACATTTGAGAAAAGATAACATGATCAGTTACAAAAGGAAGAATAAAAGTACTGTGACTTCGTAGGAGGGTCTAATAATTGAGATAGACCTTGAAAGAGAACTTCAGCAGGCGGAGGTGGGAATTGGCTGGTGTTTCAAGCAAAAGGATTCATCTAAGGAAAGAAACAGAGTGATGAAAATGCATTGTGTGAAATAAGAATAAGGACTAAAGGGGGTGGAGGGGGTGGAGGAGATGGGGCGGGCTGAGGCTGTGGTAAAGATGAGTCACATAGAGGTTTCAAAGAAATATAACACTGATAAGCTACGTGGTGGTTATATGGGTGTTTGTATAATTAATATTATATTATATTATTATTATATATTAATATTATAAGAAGTGTACATAAATATAATGTAAAAACGTGTTGTTTACCTATTTGGTATATTTCATGTGCCAAACGCATTGTGCTTCAAGAAAAGCTAATAGGGTGGCATGCTGGTTTAGAGAGTTATGGGGAAAACATCATGGGAGATAAGGCAAGAATATAGATTAGGAACAGAAGGTTAAGGAATTAAAATAACTTGAGGGATACAGAAAACAGTATGAGTGAAAGCCGCAAGCATACATTACTATTTGAAGGTATTTTTGGATATGGATTAATAGGGTTTTAATAGAAGAGGTTACAAGATTAAGAAAGGTTTTCTTTATTTTTTTTTAATTTTAAGTGTTAACAAGTGTTGACCATGATAGAAGCAACCAACAGAGCAAGCAGNTTTTTTTTTCATAGAGCTTTTCATGGTCAATATTTCAATTTACTATGAGACAATAAGAATGAAATCCTATTACTTAACATAGAAATTTCTTGTTTTTTGAAATTTATTTTAAATAATGGAAAAAGAGCCTCAACTTTAAATTGTATGTCAGCATGTCCAAGCTCTTTGTGGTTTAGATGAATTCAATTTTATTCAAAAAACTTAAACAAGTGACAGTTATTTAAAAATCAGAGAAAATCCAGTTCACTACTGAATTTAGTGAGAACTATATTTTACATCTGTTTAAGTATTAAGAGAAATGGAGGTAGAATAATATTTCATAGGCAAGTGCTCTGGTTTCATATTTTATGTGTATATGTTTTAATTAGATAATGTCTGAGGTATCATCTAACACTAAGATTTTATGGTTCTATACTTGAAAATGGCAATGTATACATTAATTTAATTACATTGTGTGATATCAATCTACTTACTTCAGAGCTTCCCTTCACATCCCTCAGATGCTAGAGTATCTAGCTCATCTCCACTTTAATTTCTATCATCATCCAAGGCAATGTGAAAGACCACGTAGAGAATCCATTGGATATTATACCCTCATGGCTAGATACTTAACTAGATCTGCTCTAGTGACCATAAAATGTGACCTGTCTCTAAATGCTTCCATTTGTGGTACTTCTTTATCATCATCAAAAAAATGTTGGGAGGTAACTTTTACTATTTCACAGATGGCAAAAACAAGGCTCAGCAAAGTTAGGTGACCTTTGAAAGACTCAGGCAATTAATTTAGGAGCTAAAGTTTAACCCTAAGTCTATTTGACACTTCCTTTCATTAGGCTATGCAATCTTAACATAGCATGAAATCCCTCCAAGGCCTGGCCCCTACCTATCTTTCTAGTCTCAACTCTCACCATGCCATCCTGCACATCTTTTATTTCTTCCTCATTAGAGTCCTTTATTTCAGTAACTTGTACTCTCATTCTTTTGGGGCTTTTACACACAGATTTTTTT